GAGAGATCAAGGTGAAAAGGAGCATTGGAGAAGGAACGAACTAAAAGCTGCATACCTTGTCATATGCTTCTTTTGTGCGACCTTATGTAATGTTCTATGTATCTTATGGTATGCACTATGTTTGGACTATGTTTGATATCACTATGTTTCGATGTTGAATGCGTATGTCGGTGTGGTAATGACATGGACTATGTTTGATAAAGTATATCACTATGTTTCCAGCGTTGAATGTGTATTCTATGAAATTTTGTATTCTGTGAAATTCTGTCAACCTGTGCACTTGTGAACTGAAATGTTCATTTCTTTTTTTTGTGTACTCAAATCTCGGCGTCAAATCAAGACACGCCGATGGTAGGCACTTCGGCGTTTAGTCAATTAACGCCGACCCCTGGCGTATACTGGAATCGGCTAGTTCGAAGCGACGAGGTGCCCAAGCTCGGCGCGTAGTAAATTGACGCCGACCCTTTAGAAACGATGTTTATTCATTTGACGCCGAGATAGGGCCGTGGGCTGAATCGACGACGTCCGCGGCCCAAACGTCGGCGTGGCCCGACTCAACGCTGGTGTGTTCAAACTCGGCGTGGACCGACTCAGCGCCGAGCTGAAGCCCAAACCTGGCGGGCCGGTCGAGCCAAACCCTAGGGTCGGCGTGGGCCGACTCAACGCCATTCTCTTTACCTCGGCGTGGGCTAACTCGACACCATTCTCTTTTCTCTTTTTTTTCTTCTACTTCTTTTTCCTTTTCTTTTTTGATTATTCTTTTTTGGTACTCTTTTATTATTTCTTTTATTCTCATTTGTAATGTTCGATTTCAATCCCCTATTCTTAGAGAGAGTCAAATCTTTTTTTGAGTTTCGGAATCAACCATAGTACATGAAACTTAGAGATAGGTAAACTACAATTTATGAAATAGCGAATGCACTACGATTACACTCACATGAAAACTAACAATGCCATGTCACAGACTAAACCTACCATGCCTTAGGGATTGAAAGAAACAAGTGATACAGACGTTACAAAGGTACTACGATTACACACTCACATGAAAACTAACAATGGCATGTTGCAAACTAGACCTAGCATGCCTTAGGGGATTGAGAAGAACAACTCATACAAGCATTCCACATTCGAATTGACTAACAAACAAAGGTTGGTCCTAATAACGGTCCCACATATTGAACTGAGTTGCGCCTTCCCCACAGTATCCCCCAAATGACGGAGGCGGTGGCGGTGGCGGTGGAGAAGGAGGCCCGTGCTTCTTATGGTACAAGCACTGGCAGTACGAATTATTGCATAGTGCCTCCTCCGCATCATTGCTGTCGTCGTCGTCCGACTTGTCCCTGTTACCAATTCCAAGGCCATACTCTAGGTCAAAGATGCATCCCTGTAGATATGTGATGTACTGTTGATGGGGATAGATAGGAGGAGGGTCGACTCATCTAGTGAAGCCACAGTTATCTGGACAGCTTGAATCCTGAAAACCCATCTACCAATAAGTACTACTACAAACCAAATGCAAATCTAAAAAAGAAGAGAGTTCAAAGGAAATACAAATCCTCGCGGGCATCTGAAGAAACGACGGCCTCCACCGTCACAGTCGTTGTACATCTGCACAACACAATCCAAACCACGGCGGCATTTTGGCCAATCTTCAATGCACTTGTCGTATGATCTAAGAGGTCTCTCACGGGTGAAGTCACTCTTCCTCTCCAAAGGAAATTTCTCTATTGGTTCTTCAAAATAATTAGGACCCAAAGAACCCTCCCACACAATCGGAGGTCCCTTCCTCACCCCCTTTCCTCTCCCTCCGCCGAAACCCTTTCCACTCGAGGAACCTCCGCTCGACATTTGCTAAAACTAAACCAGAAAACAAGTTGTGTAGATGTGGAGCAAGACATAGAGCACTATATATAGAGATGAAGGCAGGTTCACCATGAATGCTACTTGATAAAAAACTTGTGTGCATACTCATTTATTGAATCTGCAAAGGTTAGATGCTTCATCTGAAAAGCCTACAACCATGACTGATCATTTCATCTAAAAAGGCTACACCTGTGTTTTGTCACATCATCTAAATGCAGTACATCACTCTGATATTAATTCATTGCGTATACGGATACAACAGTAAACGAATCTAGGCTTTTCAGCGAGTTTTCAAATAGACTTTTCATTGACTGCAACACTACTTGTAGCCCTTTCAGTGACTGCAACAGCACAAGTAGCCTTTTTAGTGATACAAACAGTAGCACTACAGTCCTAGGATAGTTAACGAAGTACAGGGTATAAGACCATCTGAAATAAAAGCATAGTGCATTACAACATAATAAAAAAAGTCCAGGGAATAAGTTCATCTGAAATAAAAGCAGAGTGCATTACAACATAGTAAAAGAAGTCCAGGGCTACACGACATCGCTCGTGAATAAACCAAATACCTACTGAGTGCAACGAGGCCACTTTCTCTTCCTCTGGGCATCGGGATTCTCCTCCATCGCTGCCTTCGCTCGGCGCACACGCTCAAGCTTCTTCTCCTTCTCCGCCCTGTACGCAGCAACATGCCTCCTTTCCTCCTCTTCCTTATGCTCCTTTTCTATAGCCTCCTGTCTGCGTCTCTGCTCAAACCTCTCCTTAACCTCCACATCCCACTCCTTCAGGCCTTCTAGATGCTGCTTGTCCGACTCATTGATCTCAGTGTCAATCCACTGCTCAAAGTCACACAGTGGTGGAACGGTCTGCAAGAAAAACAAATTGTTACAAAACAAATAAATAAGCAATACTTAATATCACAAGAAAATTAATTAACACACAATAAAAATTTCTCACAAACTATGCACGGCGCTGTTGCTTTGTAGGTTCCCATGCATAATTGGGACACATCCAGTACCTCTGTCTATATGTTTCATCATCTTCAGAGATGTCTACCTTGCAAGGATCACCACAAAAGCACATTGGTCGAGGAACACCTTCAGAGAGAGGCTTTAGGTCGTAGGGATTTGCCCTCTGGCGACCATAGCTACAATTAAAAGAATTTAGTCATATTAACGGAGAACCAAACCTAAACCTAGGGTTTTCTATTTGTTGCACAAATAATGAATAAACAATGGGATTACCTTGGAATACGAGCTTTAGCACGTCTTGGCATCCTAACATTACGTAGAAAAAAAATCAATCCAAAGTACCTTGCAACGAATGTAAAGCTACTAACACTAAATCACCATACCTCCCAAATAAGCTTTTCATTACAAACCCTAAGCAAATTTGAATCCCAACAAACACAAAATTTAACTCAATGATTATAAACCAGAACATATACAACAACAACAACAACCATACATTTGGGTCATTCAATCATGATTCCACATGATTAGGGACAATGCAAGCATATCTACGCGGATAGATTGGAGGAGGGGAGGGACCATTACCTCGAGGAAGCTTCAGGAGACAAGATCGGGGGACCTAGAGTCGCATTTGGGGGTTAGAGTTTCGTGGGGGCCGTGGGGGATTTGGGAGACAGAGAGCCGGCGGTTTCAGAATGGAGGGAGGAACAAGAAGGGGGCCTCGGCGCGGCCTCAAGGGACTAGACCTCGGCGTTGAGTCGGGCCGCGCCGAGGTCTGGTGTCTCAGCGTTAAGTGACCCCGCGCCGAGCTACTGGGCCACGATGCGTTGTTGGGCCGCCTGGGCCGCGCGCCGGATGGTGCCCATAGCTCGGCGCTCAGTCCAGCCACGCCGAGGTTGGGCCCGTGGCGTGGGCTGACAGGACGCCGACGTCTCGGACCCCACGCGCCACCGTGTAGCCGTCGACCGGGGTCGTCCGTGACGTAGCAATACCTCGGCGTCATGTCAGTCGACGCCGACCCTCATACCTCGGCGTCATGTTCTAAGACGCCTAAAAATAGTCTATTTTTAGAAAACATTTTAGCGTAGGTTTTTTTGTAAAAAATGTTTTCAAAAGGGACCAAAATACAAAAATTTCACTCGGTCGTCTTTAAAACGTGGCGCTACGGCCTCCTCTGCGCTCTGTTGCTCTGCGTGCAGCATGACTGCATATGCATGGGGCCTAGTAGTGGTTGTGGTTACTGGTACTGGCTACTGCCTGCTCCCTACAGCGTGCTTTCCCTGACTCCGGACATCACAGGGCAGGGATGATCAAAGCTAACAAATGACCACCAATCAACATTAGAGACGATGAGTACAGTCCTAGTTTAGTAATCCGGAAAGGGGCTGAAGTAGCCTAGAAGTTACTCCGTTTCCCGAGTCCCGAGACCTCAATGTTTGGAATCTGACGGGGAAAAGGGGAACGGCATGCATATGCTATGGCAGATCAGATGTAAACTTGAAGCTAAAGCAACGGGAGAATCCAGGCTGTGCCTGCGTGCCATTGCCATCCCTGGTGGCGCTGGAACATCGGGTCAGGACTATCGATCGATGGGCCTCTTATACGTGCGCCCCCCCTGCTCAGTGCTCAGATCCATATGCTTCCCAAACAACAACATCGCCACGGACCAGATAATTAATCCAAAGTTCCCCCAGGACATGATAGCGACCATTATTCCTTAATCTGCACACTGGCTAGTCTGTGTAGTACAAGTACTTACTCCACGACCGCTTTAATTAACGACACCTTAATTATTAACGATGGCTAACGCAGCAACCAGAACCCAGAAGCCAGTAGTAGTACTGGCAGGCACGCGGCTAGCGGCCACCGCAGCGTGCGCAGCGGAGTGTGCAGTTCAAATCGGATACTTGTACGTGCCCTCCCCACCAGTCCACAGCTTTTGTCGCCTCCCTTAGCAAAGCTCGCACGAGATGAACACCTAAACTGCCCTTGGCATCGCGTCGTGTGTGCCCGGAGACACAGGGGCGATGCGGTCATTACACTGCGCGCTCCACGCGCGTACTCGACGCCTGCTCCAATTATAATGCCACGGCACGGCACGACCCCACACGCCGTGCTTCGCTGCTCCCGCTCGGCTGAACAACCGGCTCAGGGAACGCAGAGACTATGCAGCCACCGCAGCCGCAGCCGGAGCCCGCCAACCGGCGGGCATCCTCCACGTGCTCCTCCACCGCGCCGAGGCGGAGCAGCAGCGGCATCGGGTGCATGGCCGGACTCCTCCGCCTCATCTCCCCGTACCACCGCAGCCACCACCGGAAGCGCCTCACCGCCAAGAACGCATCATCAGCGCGGGACGCCCAAGCACTACAGCCAACTCCGCCGTCCTCGCCGCCCAGGAAGAAGGCGGCGGCGGCGGCCCAGCAGCAGCCTTCAGCTTCGCCCGCCCCTTCGTCTCCGGTGAAGCCGATGATGCCGCAGCAGCTAATGACAACGACCGCGGTAACGGTTCGGCGGCGGCGCTCCTGTGACGCGCCGCGGAGCCCGACGATCGCGCCGGAGCACCGGCGCTCCAGCTGCGACAGCCCCCGGCCACCACCGCCGGCCATCATCGCGCGCCTCATGGGCCTGGAGGAGTCCGCGCCGCCCTCGCCCGCCGCGGCAACAGCGACGCCGCGGCCAGTCGTCCTCCCGACGCGTCCGCCTCCGCCTCCACCGGCACCGGCGGCGCCTGAGACGGCCGCGGAGAAGCGGCGGAAGCTGCTGGGCGCGCTGGAGAAGTGCGACGAGGACCTCAAGACGCTTCGCCGGATCATCGCGGCCGTCCGCGCCGCCGAGATGCGCGCGGCCTCCGCGTCCGACGTCTGCCCGGTGGCAGCGACGACCACACCTGCAGCTGCAGGCAAGGGCGCCAAGAGGACGTTCGGCCGCGACAACGAACAGTCGCCGTCGCCGTCGCCGTCGCCGTCCCCGTCGCCGCCGATGCAACAGCAGCAGCAGTACCCCAGCCCGGACTCGGTGCTGGACGCCATCAGCTCCCCGAGGTTCCCATGCAGGAAGCGGCCGTCTCCCTGCACGGATGTCGATATGGGGGGCAAGGGCGGTTGCGGTACCGGCGCCTTGGCCCCCACCGTCGGATCGAGGATCGTGAAGCCCTCCCGAACCCTTGTTTTCTCCGGTACGTACATACTATGTCGCTGTCACGACTCACGATATGCACCAAAGTCACATGCTCGACCGTATCTTTTCTTGAACAAACAACAATGACATGTATGTGTCACGTAACTTTCATCTTGCCCTGTTGCGCATGCAAATACGTGCAGGCGACTACTGCAAGATCAAATCAGGCGGTGATGAGCTGCCGCTGCACGCCGTCCAATACCCGGTGCCGCCGCTGGTGGTGGGCATGCCGAGGTCGCCCGGGGCGGAGAGCTGGCGGCACCACCTGCGGCGGTGGGAGCAGGAGGCCGCGGCGGCGGGGCAGGTGATCAGCCGCGCGACGGCGGAGAGCGTGGGGGAGGCAATAATGTGGGTGCGGCAGCAGCAGGGCCACGGCGGCGCGGGCGACGATGAGCGCGGCAGGGTCGCGGCCGCGCTGGAGCGTGCCATCGTGCAGGACCTGGTGGGCGACCTCGTTGCCGAGCTGCAGGAGCAGTCCGGCGGGCACGGGGCCGGGTCCGGGTGCAGGAAGAGATTGTGCTTCTGAGTTCTGATCAATCGCGGGCCGGCACTTTCTCATCGTTTTCTTGGGTCCCTTTTTTTTATTTTGGTCGCGTGCGTCGCATGTGCTTGAATTTGGCAGGTCAAGGTCTGAGCTGTGCACTGTGCCTCCGCTGCCCGCTGCTGCTGCGGCTGCGCCATGGATGTCAGTGGCTACAGCTCGCCTGGCTAGCTAGCTACCCCCAAAGAACGGATTCGCCGCGGCGTCAGTTGTAGGTGGAGTAATCAATACAAAAGTGATGATGAGAAGCTGCTGCCAAGTACGCAGACGGGCTCACTTCGATCAGTAATAATCAGGAATAATATTCACTCTGATCAAAGACAGGCTAGGACCTGTTTGGATCACGTGTGCTGAAGGTAATAACTAATGTACTGTGATAGCATCTAAAATTTGCAAGAAAAATGATACTCTACTCAACGTTAAAAAATGAAACATGCTACAGATAAGGATCCAAACAGATGTAATAAAGCAGAGTAATTGGCGCCCACACCAACACCTGCATGAACAGAGTGTAGGCCGTGTAGGCTATAGCACTAGTACACAGTCTACATTTTCTGATCTTCTGGTTACTTTAAGCGAGGTTTCTTGAACCATGCCTCGTTTTTTTTTTTGCTTGAATTCATTCCGAGGCCTTAGTTTAGATTGTAAGTTTTTTCACTCTCTCTCCGTCACATTAAATCTTTGGACACATGTATGGAGTATTAAATATAGATAAAAAAATAATTAATTACATAGTTTGATTGTAAATTACGAGACAAATCTTTTGAACCTAGTTAGGCCATGATTGGACAATAATTATCAAATACAAACGAAAGTGCTACAGTGCCAAATACTAGTTCCTAACCCCAATCTAAACAAGGTCCAATTTCGGTTGGAATTCTGAAAGGAGGAGGGCAAGTGGGCAACAGAGCGAGACAGGGGCGGATCCAGGTATTGAGTATGGGGGGGGGTGCCGGCGTGTACAAGACTAGAACTAGTAAACCATACCAAGTTTTAGTCACATATATAATAGTAATATATATATTTCACAAATATTAACCAAAAGAAAATTGCACATCTATTATCTTAAATTTAACTCTACGACTACCAATGAGATCATATGCAATTCGATAAAAAGAATAATAGTGACCATTAATTACTAGATAAAAGTATAACACTGCATGATTATGGATTGCGGATTACCTGCTACTTCTGGTGGCCTGACCACCTGACGGAAACCTACAAAAGGCAATTTGGACGGCAGGTCGGTAGCCGGCGCCCGGCGGCGTCAATTTGGGGCAGCGGTGGCGACATGGCGTGGCGTCTCACGTTCGGGCTCCCACTCCAACCGTACCGGCGTGGCGATGTCCGCCAACCGACGAAGCAGTCAAGCAGAAGAGAAGACGGAGTTGAACAGGCAAGAAACGAAGGAAGTCAGGAAGGCTCGACGCTTTGTAGGCGAGAAACGAAGGAAGGCCCGACGCTTCATATTCAGTCGATGAAGGGAGCAACAACAATTACATGTTCGTGTAAATGGGCTGCTTTTTATTGAACCTCAAATACACTTATACACAGTATACACACGTTTGGAATGAATGGGAGGAGCCTAATTAACAGCATACATGCATGGATATTAGCTACTCCCTTCATCCCAAATTATAAGACGTTTGACTTTTTTGGCCCTAAGTTTGACCACTCGTCTTAGGCCTCGTTTACTTTGAAAAAAAGTGAACCCGATGAATAGTACCACTTTCGTCTTATTTAGCAAATATTATCTAATCGTGGACCAACTAGGCTCAAAAGATTCATCTCGTGATTTCCAACTAAACTGTGTAATTAGTTATTTTTTTAACTACATTTAATACTCCATGCAAGCGGCTAAAAATTGATGTGATGGAGAGAGAGTGAAAAAACTTGAAATTTGGATGGCATCTAAACAAGGCGTTATTCAAAAAATTTGTGCAAATATAGTTAAATTTAAGTCATTCTTGAAAAATTTTTATTAATAAACCAAATCACGACGAAAAAAGTAATATTTTATATAAATTTTTAAATAAGACGAGTGGTCAAACTTAGTGTCAAAAAAAAGTTAAACGTTTTACAATTTGAGATGGATCAAGTAGTATATCCTAGAGACTAGCAGCACGTCAGGAGGTGCCCCCCCTGGAGCGAGAGATGGGCAAGAACGATGAATGCGTGGAAGTTAGCGCGCACGTAGGGCAGGGGGGACTAGAAGCCCAGGAAGCCAGATGATTGAAAATCCTCTGTGCCTGGATGTAGGCTACGGGCTACGCGAGCGAGCCTACAGCTGCGTCCACCCCGGAGGCCCTGACCCTGACCCGTCTCTCTGGCAGCGCCAGGCGACCACGCCTTTCGCAATAACTTTGGGCGCTGTCCTCCGATTCAGCGACCACGCCTTTCGCAATAACTTTGGGCGCTGTCCTCCGATTCAGGGATCGCGCCGCTGCTGCTAAACAGCATATTCGTTGTTGATCTTAAATTTCTACTTAGAAACAGTATTTTTTTCTCACATAAAATCAGTCAGCAGTAATAATCAACGATCGTATACGATTGTTCAGATGCTGGAAGCGCATGCGTGCGTACTCCTACGTTGTACGTACTCCTAGTGCTACACTAGTACGTACGTACGTACGGAGTACACCCTAACCCTACGATGCTGTCGATGCAGAGGAGGAAATAAGGAATCTGCCAAACACTGCCTCGTCACCCAACTGAACACGGTTCACGTACATACAGCAACTACTACCAGAGTACCAGTGCATGCGCTCTGTGTTCGAGTGCCCGTTCGGTTCGGTTGTGTACACGTCAATCGAATGATTGTGACTAGTTGCAGGCCAGCGGATCGACGCAATGCATGTCGTCAGTCGTCACAGAGAAAACAAAGATCAAAAGATGGTCGCGGCAGGGAGCAAGTGCCTGCGCCATTTGATTGATGATGTAGGGCGTACGTGGCTCCACGTCCAATGGCGGAGCGTGAAGGGAATTCAAGAGGGGGCTAATATTGTTAAACTTTTCTCTAATGTCCAAATATCTATTACTTACTAAGTATCATCCTTAAGAAATTTCAATCCTCAAGGGGGGGCACTATGGCCTACATGTGGCTCCGCCACTGACCACATCAGAAAACAACAAAAGGAAACGTTAGATCGAGCTTCCTGACTATGCCAGGTGGGCTCGCTACTCGCTGTCTTACATATGACTACGGGCCGGTTTTGATGCCGAGGACGTCATTAGTAATGATGACGTATAGGACAACTCTATCTGGCATACTCTCTCTATCCAGAAAAAGAAACACGGGCGCGTTTGGTTGCAGCGCTGCCTCGCCTAGCTACGCTGGCACAGGAACCGAGAACCTCGCCCGCTCAGGCGAGCCGATCCGGCTCTCTCACTGAAGTGAGCCAAATCTCGCCAGCGCATTCCCGAGGAGCTTGAGCGAGACAACCAAACGCGTTTCTATCCTCGCTGGGCAAGATGCTACACTCCCAGGTGAAGGATCCAAACACGCCCTACGATTTACTTCCTCCGTCTGAAAAAAAAAACCCGATTTTAGGACATATCAAATTAAAGTATCTTATGTTTGACAATTACATGCAAAAATATAGAAATGTTTTTGATATTAAATGAGTATCATTAGATTTATCATGAGATATATTTTTAAAATATATACTTATTTGTGTCGCAAATATTAATATTTTTAACTATATATTTAGTTAAATTTTAGACACTTTAATCGAGAATAGCCTATAGTTGCATTTTCTTCCAGACAGGCAGTAGGAGCTAGCAGGTCTGACTTTCGGTCGCCACGATCCTTGAGTTGAATGAAAGAAGACGCGATACTCAGCCTGTTCGGTTGGCTGGTTTGTATCGTTGCTGGTTCGTTTATGTGAGGGAGAAGTACTGCTGGCTGGTTCATTGGAACAGTGTCCATGTGAGGGGGCTGGCAGCCCAGCCAGCCCCAGCCGAACACGGCGACTGACGCTAAGAGCAAAGCAAAGGTTCATGATATCATAGACATGTACGATCTCTTTTGGCTTTTGCAGCTGCCAGAAAAGGCACGACCGATCTAGGTTATCTATATCAAAAGAAATCGTTAAGGAGTCACATGCAGTCCAGCCCGGTCCAGGGCTCCTCCCGAGCCCACTGGGAACGCAGAAGAAAGACGGACAGGAACAGGGCCCACGTTCACTTTCACAAAAGGGAAGAAAGCTTCATAGCCATTTTTACTGCCACAATGCCACAACCGGCCATTGACACTTTCATCGAGTGAGCCGACATGATTGGCATCCGGACTCCGGAGCCTGGGCATTTGAGTCAGGGTTTCACCTTGACTAGATCCCAAGCTTCCTTCCTGCTGTGTGTGCCCCGAGAAGGGAATCCAAATCATCGCAGGACTTTTGCAAAGCTTAAAACAGCAAGGCAAGTAGGGTGGTGATGATGCCAACCGCCATGGATGCTGCTGGGCTCCCGTTCCTCAAAGCGTCAAAGCGGAAGCTTGAAGCTATTTTTGTGCTATTGTTAGTGCTGTACCCCATCAAAGCATCAAAGTTGGAATGAAGGGAAGAGTCCAGTGAATTATGAATGGGCCTTTCCTTCCTCTACTCTACAGAGTACTCCTACACACCTAGTTGGGCTCTAGTACGCGCTACAAGATGCGGCCGCAGCCCGCAGCAGGCCCACGACCTATCGGAACGGTACGCGTAGCTGACGTGGCATCGGCGGGGAACCTCCTCCGCGTCTGAACCGCGTCCGGGGTAGTATGGTAATATCCGCCGCTTGGAAAACTGGAGCATGCCGCCCCATGTTTGGAAGAATGGATGGAAGTCGTGGGCACTTTTGTTGAACTGGGCCACATGGCTGCATGTTCCAAAATAAAAATCACGAACCTACCCTTGTCGAGTTGACGTTCCTTCTAGCTTCCGGGTATACAAGTACTCCGGTCTCCGTAAATATTTCAAGAAGTGATTTTATTGGAGATTGAATTTATA